CCAAAAAGCTGAAAACCCCTGGACAGGGTGACCCTTAAGGTCCCTCTAGCCTTGGATTCCAAGAGCCTCATTGGTGACAGTGGCCAAGCATGCCTCCAGGATGAGCCCGCCTGGAGAGCCAGAGAACAGCAGGCAGCTTCCCTTCTGTCCTTGGTGACTCAGCACAGTGGGCGGCGGTCACTGGCCATCCAGCTCCCTGGCAGAAGGCACAGGAGGGTTCTGTGGGAGACTGTCTCTGGCCGGTTTCTCTGAGCTTTGCCTTGCATGTCCTGAAGTCATTCAGCAAGTGGCTCACTGGGTGGTAGCTGGTGCTCCTCATGGGTCCTGCCTCCTATTCCAGTCCTGTGGGGGACGCAAACACCCAGCAGCCACGGGGTGTGGGCTCTGGGCTCTGAGATGGGGCCGCCTGAGGCTGTGGAGAAGCGGAAGGGCAAGGGCGCCTGGTGGGGTGTGGGAGGGTGGTCGTGTGAGCAGGGACAGGGGCGCGGGTGAGCAACGGGCCCCACTGCCTGCCCTGGGCCTCAGCTTTCTCATCCGTAAGATGGGTGTATCGAGGGTGAGAGGAGGTGCTTGTGAGGCATGTCTCGAGCTCTGGGTGCCTGGTTGGTACGGCAGGCTGTGGGTGCTGTCGACTGTGCCACTCGGTTGGCTCTGCGGGGAGTCCAGAGTCACATACTGGGTACAGTTGGGGTTCACAAAAAGTCGCTCTGCTCACCTCAAACCTGCCTTCTTCCTCGGATGCCATGCTGACCCCCACAATTAAGACTCTCCGAGAGAGAAGTGGAAGTGCCCAGAAGGAGGCTCACAACCTCCCACGTGTCAAAAGGCTCGGAAAACTACGAGGGTTCTTCCTCAAAGGACAAGACTGAAAGGGACATGGATGGAGCAGTGTCCATGGTCAGTGGCACTGAAGAAATACCCGCTTGTAGACAGGAAGTGCTGCTGTGAGAGGCGGGCCACTGCGGACCCAACCAAGACCGGGGACTTGTGCAGCTCAGCGGGAAGCCTCCAGGGACAAGGTCGAGGCTAGACCAGGTTGTCACCCCTGCTGACAGCTTGGCAGTGAGCTGGGCACATTGGCCCAGTCTGGTAGGCCCAGAACCAGTTTTGGGCCTGGGAGATGCTGAGAGGGCCGACAGTGTGACCTATAGTAGCCACGGTCGTGGAAATGCCGGTTCCTTCTGGAATAACACCCGCAGGGAAAATGCATCGGAGCCTCCACTCTGGAAAAGGAAGAGGAGGCCACGGGGCAGTGGGCACGGTGGATCTATCAGGGCTCTTGTGTGTGAGCAGCCAAGATGGACTCTGCTGTCTCAAACAGGAAAGGAATGTGCCAGAAGGACTGACGGGAGCTTGGGAACTAGGCCTGGAAGTAGACCTGGGTCGAGGCAGTTAGGGCCAGGGCCGTGGAGGAGGCAGCCCTGTGACCAGGCAGGCAAGACACAGCTTCCTGTGCTGAATTCTCCCCTCACCCACCTTTACATCCTTTGCTCAAGACGCCAAGTCCTGGGTGAGAACCTCGGCCAGCACACAGGATGACTGCTCACATGCTGCCGGGGTAGGGGTGGGGGCTGGAGGCCCCACAAAGACTCCCAAGTCAAGGAGGCCGCCAGCATGGAAGGGCAGGGCTCCATGCTGGGGAAGCTGGCTGTGCTGGGCCTGGTCGCCGAGGCAGGGGACGAAGCCTCACGGTAGACGGCCACTACCACCCGGTTGCCCTCCTGCCCTTCCTTTGGTGTCCACTCGTTCCATGTAGCCAGTCCTGGCCAAGCCAGGCACTGCTGACCAGCACTCGGAATGCAGAAATAAGACCCTGCCCTCAAGGAGCCTGCAGTGTACTCATTTCGCTGTTCGTTCATTCACCCATCTTCTTGGTCACCTGGTGCCCAGCCCTGGGATACGGTGGCAGGCACTCCTAGACAGGGCTCATGGAGGGCCCGGTGGACAGAGGGGAGGGAGGATGTGGTCGCCTTCCCTGCCTCCCTCTTCCTTTCTGTCTTGGCTTGTTGGCTTGGTCGTTCGGTCCAGCCAGTGGCACCTCTCAGCACTGCTCGGCCCCACATAGTCCCTGAGAGCTGATGGAATGCTCATGTCCCTACAATGCTGACCTGGTCATACCTCCTGTATCTGTCTTACCGCTGCTGTGACAGATTATCGCTAGGTTAAAACAGCACAGGTTTAGTCTCTTAGAGAGTTCTGGAGGTCTGGAGTCCAACACAGTCCCATCGGGCTGAATCAAGGCATTGGCTGAATTGTGGTCCTTCTGGAGGCCCTTGGGGGGGAGTCTCTTTCCAGCCTAGAGGCCGCCCACATGCCTCGGCTCCCAGCCTTACCACTCCGACCTCCACTCCGTCTCTCACCCTCCTGTCCCCTATGACAAGGACCTTGTGCGGCCACCTGGACCAGCCAGGATCCTCTTCCATACCAAGATCTTTAACTTGGCCACATCTACAGAGTCCCTTTGCCACACAGGATTCCATGCTCACGGGAGTTAGGATGTGGACATCTTTGGAGGCCTGACTGTACCCACTGCCTGCCCTCCCTTGGCCCCATGGTGTGTTGGGATGTGTGGGCATGGTTGTGGGCTGAGCTGGCTCACCCCACCTGCACCCTCTCTTGTGAGTGACCCTGCCTGTCTCTTCCCAGCTCTGTCCAGGGATATTTCCTTGAAGATGTGGTGTCTGCTGAGGGGGGCTGGCACACCAGTGCACTGGCACCCTTGGGAATCAGGGCGTTTTGTCTGGAGAGCCTGTTGCTGGGCGTTGGTCCACACGCCCCTGGCCAAGGCTACTGCTGACGCTGCGGCTCCCATGTGGGGTGTCTGCACCCCTGGGCACCATGCCACACCAGCACTTTCTGGATTAGCTCACCATTGGGGGTCTTGCACAGCTCTCCCTGAGCACAGGCTGTCTTTTGTCACCCTAATGGGAGAGAATTGTCACGAGACCAGAGGAGCAAGGTCGGTGCTGACAGGAAACAGCCCAGTAACAGACTCCCCAGGAGGCTGCTTCTTTTCTTCAGCCTCTGCGACCCTGGAAGAGGGTGCACAGGCTTGGTGTCATCGGGCAGCTTGCTCCAGGCAACACTGCCTGGACACGGCAGGGCTGGGACTTGAACCTGCATCTGTCAGAGGCTCCACCGTTGCAGGAGTCCCTGCATCATGCCGAGGGCTTCCCTCCAGTCCTCCTGGCACTCGGGACAGACTCGGGCTCCATCTGCCTCCAGTGGCTGGTGTGAGTCTGTCCAGGGTGGTTTCCTTTTTTTAATTAAAAAAAATATATATTTTTTGAGATAAGGTCTCACCCTGTCGCCCAGTCTGAAGTGCGGTGGCACAATTGTAGCTCACTGCAGTCTTGAACTCCTGGGATCAGGCGAGCCTCCCACCTCAGCCTTCCGAATTGCTGGGGTTATAGGCCTGAGCCACTGTTCCTTGTTCTGTCCAGGGTTTGGAATGAGTCTCTGAGCTTGCCCACAAGAGCCGGATCCTTTACCGCACTCGCCACTGTACTGTCTCGTTTATTCAAGCCCAGAGATTGCGCCTAACTCCAGCCTGGGAGGACAGCTGATGTTTCGTAGATGATTTGGGAGGGGGGCATCTGTGGCCTGACCTGGATCTCCTTGAACAAGGGTGAACTGCAGGGTCCGCGTTCAAGTGTATGTGTGTCTGTGCGTGTTGGGGCAGGAGGTGCTTGGAGAGACACCCCAGCCTTTGTCAGAGTCCCTCGACCGTCAGAGTCACGGTCACTCGGGACAGAGGCCTGTGGGGTCTGGTGGGGCATGGACGCTGCATTTCTGCCCTAGGGGTGGTCAGGGGATAGCTCAGAATGCAATAACATCGTGGTTTATAGTTTGAGCCGCACACTGCCTGGCTGTGCACCCTTGGGAAAGTTCCTAACCCTGAGTCTCAGTTTCCTCATTTGTACCATGCGGTGCCGACAGCAACAGCTTCACAGGGCTGTCGCACAGAGATAGGAGAGCCAGTTCATGCATGGGTCCAGTACCGTGTCTGGCGCTCAGGAAACACCGACATATTCTGGTTGCCAGAATATTAGAGATTCAGAAACCAGGCAGGAGCAGCAGTGATGTGCATTACAGCCCGCAGGGATCTCCCCTACCACATTTGCTTGAGAGGAATTGATGATGGCAGTGATAAGGATAGTCACAAAGGCCCTGCCGTGTGCCAAGCATGGCTCTAGACACTCTGTGGGAATCATTCCCAGTCCTCACAATATCCTTGCCACATCAAATTATTGACCCCATTTTACAGGTGGAAACATTGAGGCTGAGATGCCCAAAAACTCAGAACTAGCGTGGTGTGGATCAGGAAAGATCTCTCTCTTCACACCATGATGTTTAGCCCAGGTCTGCCCGAGTTCAGGGCTGAGGCTTCCTACCATGGCTTTCTGCACTTGGTAGGAGCGTGTCATGGTTGAACACAGGCTCAGAAGCTAGGCTGCCCTGGGTTTAAATGTACTTCGTTATGAGATCTCGGGGCCTCAGTGTTTTTTTCCTTGATGAAATGGGTGTAGTGATAGCCACCACTGTGGTAGTGATAGCTGCGGTGAGGACTCACTAGAAAATACATGGATCGCAAAGGCCGGGTGCTTAGAGCAGTGCTGGGGCCAAGGGGGCCTCTGTCGGCTCTTGCATCCTCCCTTCTGGGCCTCCAGCCAGCTCGTCCTGGCCCCTCCCGTGACCCCAAGTAAATCTGGCTGTGTGTGCACAGTTAAAGCTCTCCAGCCAGTGTGCCTGAAGTCACCCAGACCCAGCCAAATCAGCCCACAAGGACGACGTCCTGTTCTCAGAGCAGCCTCTGTGGTTAACCCTTCTGTTTTGGTTTTGCACACAATGGGACCGGATCAGCAAGTCCCTCGGAAGGCCTGTTGGAGTCACAGGCAGACCCTGTGACAGAGCGGGTGGGACTTGTGTGCTGGCCTGCAGATGCCCTGAGATGCTGTAACCAGTGACCCGACCTTGCTTTCCTCTTCTTGTTGTTGCAGGCTGCCAACAGCTACCTGCGGGACCAGTGGTTCCATTCTCTGCAGTGGAAGGTAAGTCCCGACTTGGCTGCTCATGTGTGATGGCTGCCTCCGACTCTGGTGGCGGTGCAACGGCTTAAAGCCAGCCTGTCACCCAGAGGCGCAAAGGCAGAGGACTCTGGCCCTTCGGACGGCTCAGCTTTGCTTCCCTATGTGACAGCCCCATCCCTTCGCCCACCCCTGCAGTGCTCAGTCCGCATCCGGCCCTGGTGAGCACTGTGTCATGAGCCTTACTGCGCTTCTCCTGCTTCAGAGGCAACCCCGAGGAGTTAGGGGAGGCTGAACTTCAGGGGCTCGTGATGCTGGGTTGACATAACTTCTGAAGGCCGTGCAGAGGGTGAACCTGCCAGAGGTTCGAAAGCCCGTGCCCTGTTTCAAAGCTGTGCTGCCTTTCCATCACACTTCTCCGGCTTGGCTTCTCAATTCTAGTTCTGTGAGGATGGCTCAGAGCCTCTGACATGTAAAGGGAAACCAGCCTCCTTCAAGACCCAGGGCAGGTCCTTAAGAAGGGTTTCTTGTCACCGCAGATTCGGTCTTAGGAGAGGGAAACCCTGCTGTCAAGCCCGGGACATGGATCACACTCAGCTGGCTTCTCGTCCCCGCCCTGCCTCTGTCTCCCCCACCTCCTCATCTAGTTCAGACCCAGTGTGACAGGCCATTGGCCCCACAGAGCCAGTGGCTGTACTGACTGGTGTGTGTTATTAGCTGTCCCTCCAGTAACCTGGAGAGCCACGGAGGGTGACAGCTGGCCCCGTGTAGGGGTCGGTGCCACATGGTGTGTCAGGAGGACCGAGGGGACACTCAGCGTTCCTCTCATGCCTCTGCAGGGGCTCTGCCACAGCCGGGTTGGAGAATGAAGTACATCCCCAGATAATTACCCTTCTGGTCCCAAAGAGGGCCGCTCCCTCCTTCCCTGTCGCTGGCTGGTCCTTTCACTTTGTGCCATGGGGACAAGTCTCCGAAGCTGCGCATGAGTCTACGTGCTGGGCCGCAGAGGGGAAGAGAGTGGCACGTATCGGCTCCTATTGTGTGCCAGGAGCTGTGTTAGGCTCATCATGCCCGGGTTGCCCTCGCTGCTTCACAAGACCAGTTACCATCATTGCTCCCATGTTCTGTGTGGGAAAGGCAAGGCTTGGACTGGATTCTGGGCTCCCATAGCTAGTAGGGACTGAGGCTGGGCTCAGGTGGATCTTGCCCACACCTGTAGGTTTCAGGATGTAGTCGTTGAAAGGCACCAGATGGCAGCCAGGAAGGTAAGGTGGCACACGCCTCTCTCAGAATCAGCAGGGATGCTGGGAGTCCCAGTCCACAGGGAGGACATCCCTGATGCCCAACTCTGTATGTCCAGGCACGAGTGTGTCCCGGACAGGCAGGACCAGTGTCAGCACCTCTTGGGCACCCGTCTGGGAGTCCAATGCCAGAGCAGTCAAGAGGGAGGAACATTAGCTGGGTGTTGGTGCTCAGGGGGGTTGCCTGGAGGAGAAGACCATTTCACCGCCGGGGATAGGGAGTGACTCCTCAGGGTCTCTGCCTTTTCTGTTCTCTGTGGCATTTTGCTTGTGGGGCCTCAGTAAGTGGCAGCCCTGCCTTTTCCTAGCTCAGGACAGGGCGAAATGCATGGAGCCACACTGCCCCCCAACTGGTAGGAAACACCTCACTTAAAAGGAGCCAAGGTCCGCATCCATGGGGAAGGCTATCTTGGGGGTAGGCTGTCTTGGCGGTATTCCCCGGGGCTCTGCTCTCTGCCTTTGCCTCAGGGGTGACTTATGGGCACGCCTAGAAGGCAGGGACTGTGGAATCGGTGACTACCGTGAAGCTCCTCGGGGTGACCGAGAAGGTGGAGCACGCAGAGCTCAAACTTCTTCGGCAGATCTGACTGGCTAGAAAGATGGGCTAAAGGCTCAAGCTCGAAGCATCCCAAGGTCAAGGACTTTCTGTGAGGTTCCAACAATTGAGTGAGCAAGTCCAGAATGGAGGCTCCAGCAGTTCTCAAGAAGACCTGGACATCTGTATTCAATTATGGTGGCATTCGGTTTCTTTGGGGTGTTAAACTTAATCTGCTGTTTAAAAGCATCCAGACAGCTAAGTCCAGGGGGTGAGGACCTGGCAGATGCCTGGCACGTGCTGGCCCTCTCACCAGGCGTGGAGGGTCATCTGCCTTCTCCCTGCTTGAGCGTCGGCTGTTGTCGTCCGCATACTTGAGACGCTGACAGTTGTTCCCCTTTGACAATTGCCCCCTCCCATAATTTAGGTATGCTGCCACCAGGTGGCAGTGGTATCTTAGTGCTGGCCACTTTAATTTCCGTGGCTCTTCGCACCCTGTGTTGGTGAGATTTGAGGAGGCTTGCTCTCCTTCCTTTTACAATGGTGAAGACACATAGGGTATTTCAGAGGTGTTACCGCCTAGCGTAATGGGGTGGGAGGCCTGGGTTTGAATCCTAGTTCTGTCGCTTATTTGTCCTGAGATCTGGCGAGATTCCAGAAAGTGTTCATCCAATTCAGGTCCAGTTACTTAGTGCCTGGGATGTGCCAGACCTGGCTAGGTGCTTTTCCAGTTCATTGTCATTCAGTAGGTGAGAGGACCAAGGCTCAGAGGGCTCAGATGCCTTGCCCCCAGCTTGCATGGGAGATTTCATTCCAGATAGGGGGGGGCCCTCCTGCCTCCTCCTTGATCAAACTGTGCCTGACTGAGGTTGAACTTCACAGCCCCTCAGGACATGGCGCCCTTCTTCTCCTATTTTCTCTATCTTTAACTGAGGAAAATCAGTAGGACATCAGGATTAAGGATATTTGGAAGTCCCAGCCTCCCCTGGAGTATTCACATCTTCCAGATGTTGTTTTGTTATCGTATGCCTACTCCAGTGCATGCTTGGGCCTCATCGCTGCAGTGCACATGCCGAATACATTCTTCTGTTTGTGAAGAATGTTGCCCTCAAATACTGTGTTCCCATTGGTTAGTTTGTATCAAGCTGGTATCTGTGGGGCATTCCCAGCAGGGGCAAGATTGCACCAAACGGGGCCAAGATTGGTTCTTTGGGGCTTAAACAATCTTAGTTATTACAATAGTCGTGGCCCCCCCAAAGCTTGACCCTATTCAACAGCATCGTATTTTTTTTTTTTTTT